AAAAAAAATGATGAGGATGCTGCACATTCACTAGAATAACTAAAATTGAAAAGATTGGCAACACTAAATGTTGGGGAGGAAGTAGGGGAACTGGAACTCTCACACATTGCTGGTAGGAATGTAAAATGGTACAGCCACTTTGCAAAAATTTCCTTAAAAATTAAATTACGCCCTTACCATATGGCCCTGCAAATCTACTTCTAGGTATTTACAGATGAGAAATGAAAACATCGGTCCATGCAAAGGCTTACACAGCAATTTTGTAGCAGCTGTATTTAGAAGAGCCCCAAACTGGAAAAGAACCCCAGTGCCTAGCTGGAGAATAGAGAAACGTGCTTCCTTCTTACCATGGAACTACAAAAGAACAAATTACTGATACATGAAACAATGTAAGTGAATTTCAAAAATATAAAGAGGGAAGGAAGCCAGACACAAAAGAGTACATGCTTTATGATTACATTTCTGTGACGTTCTAGAATATGCAAAACTTATCCACAGATGGAAAGCAAATCAGTGATTGCCTTGGGTTGGAAGTGGGAGAATCTGACTGAGAAGGGGCACAAGGGAACTTTCTGGGGTGATGGAAATGTATGTAGATTGCAGTGGTGATTACACAGGTACATAAACTTATCAAAACTTATCTAGGGCCGGCCGAGTGGCTCAGTTGGTTAAGAGCTCACTCAAGAGTGTGAGCTCTGAGCAACAGGGTCACTGGTTCAATTCCCGGCCGGAGCTGAGCTGCCGCTGAGCTGCCAACAGGTGGCAGGATGGCTCAGCTAAAAAAAAAACGAAAAAAAACCTCATCCAACTGTACACATCATATAGGTGCATTTTATTGTATGTAAATTATACTTTAATAAACTTGATAATAGTAAAGTGATAATACAATAATAGTAATAATCATAAGAATAGTGATAATGAGACCACTCTAAATACACTGATATGAAGGATTTTCAAGGTGTATTAAGTGAAAAAAAATCAAGGTGCAGAAAAATGTTAATTAGAGAAAAAATATGTCTGAATTGTCTTGGGTATACGTAAAATAATCTAAAAGTCTATACAAGAGGCTAATAATAGTGGCTTCCTGTTGGGGGATGTGGGCTGAGAGGATGGAGACAGAAAAAGGGGGATGTTCCCTAAACAGCTTATCATACATTTTGATGTTTGAATCAGGTGAACATAGATTTCCCTTGCTGCTGGAACTCTTACTAACCGACCTGCCACATTTTGAATTCTCAAGAACAAATAGATTTGCTTAAAAGTTAACATCTCTGGCTATCGGGAACGCTTGCTACTCGCTATCCCAATTTTCTACTCAGTACACAAACAAACCTTTAAAACAAGAAACACATGTTGAGGCCGAAAGGATTCCCGCACTTCTAGGAGACTTATGGTTTTGTACAATTTCGCCCCTGGTCATGGCCCCCGTCCCTACCCGAGCACGGGTCTGGCCGCCTGGCCATTTAACCTCACGGGGTCCGCAGGCCATCGGCCTCCACTCAGTATGTCCCTGTCCAGCCGCGCGCGCCGCGGGGCAGGGGCTGGAGGCCCCGGGGACACAGAAACTAGCTCCCAGCTGCAGTCGCACCTGCCAGTCGCAGTCGCCCCAGCCTCCCTTCTCCTATGGGCACTTCCGCCGGGTTCTCTCCAGGGCGCCTCTGGGCAGGACTGGTGACCCGGAGACCACCGAGGTGGGCGGGCACTCCCCGGTAAACCCGAGTGGAAACCGGTGGCCTACGAGTAGCAACAGGTGGCTTCTGTCCCCCGCTCTCCCCCCATGGCCCTCAAAGGCCCTTCCCGAGGGTCTCCACCCCATCCCCACCCTCTATCCTCACGAGTAGGGAGCTTTCTGAGACCTGTAGGGCGGGGTGGCGCGGGCCGTTCCCCCAAGGGGGCCGCACAGGTTCCCGCCCGCCGCAGCCCTACCCCCTTGACGGCCTCTCGGGCCAAGGAGGGTCGTCCCGGCTCCCCAAGGGCGCGCGAGCTCGGGTCCTGCGGGCCAGGGTCCGGGCGCACTCGGCAGCGGTCATGGCGCGGGCGTCCGGGGCTGCGTGCGGGGTCGCGCCGGGAGGGGTGCGGGCCGGGAAGGGGGTGCTGGAGAATCCGGGGGCGGGACGCCGGCAGGCTGCACTGGGCGTGGGTCGGCGGAGATCCAGCCAGGGCGGGGCCGGCCGGGAGCCGGGAGCCAGAGCCGCAGCTTAGAGGCCGAGGCGCTCACAGCTATGGGCCGGGGGTCTCCGAGAGCTCAAGGGTCGTCGGCCCTGCGGCTGCTGCTGCTACTGCGGCTATCCTGGCAGGTGTGGGGGGCCGAGGCGTTTCTCGGTGAGTGGGAGCGCGCCCCTAGGGGCAGGCGAGGTCACTGTCAGGGGATGGAGGGTTTGAAGCCTCGGGAATGCGCCGCTGGGAAGATAGTAACAGGGAGGGTTTGGAAGGGTGTCCGTGGGACCTGTCCAGGGACTGTCACCTTACTTGGGCTTGGGGTCCAGACTTGTGTACTCTGCCTAGCTTCCACGGTGCCCACGACGAAGCAGAGTGGCAGGGACCCTTCCCCTGTGAGCAGCTGCCCCGCCCCTCAAACCACTCTGCCCTGATTCTCTGCTGAACCACCCCTGGGCCCCATCTGCCAGTGAGAATATTCCGGCACCTCCAACCCTTCCGGCTGAACAGGCTTTCCCCTTTTGTGAAGCCCCCAGCCCACTGGCCCCTTGGAGTCCCTGCTGTGCCCTCAGACTAGGGAACTAATTGTGGCCTCCACGCTCATGAATCACCCATGCTCATCCCCTCATCCCAAGACCTCCGGGGCAGTGTGTACATTGTTTATATTGTTGCCTTGTTTGGTTAGATACAGAAGGACATCTTCAAACAGAGGGTGCCTGTTTGGCAGGGCCCTGGGGGAGGACTGAACACCGTCTCTTTCCAGTCTAACCTCTCCAAATCCTCTGTGAGATGGGGCTGGTAACAGCAACGTCTCCAAGTGGGTGGGAGGATTGGCCAAGTCCCCTCTATCATGTCCCTGGTTAGGGGACATGCAGTCTGACCAGGGAGGAGGCTGGGAAGGCTGGGCTGGGCAGTCTGGGGGCAGTGGATTCCAGAGCATTGTGGAGGGGGGGACCCAACAGGGATAGCGTCCGCTCCGTTCTGGGGCTGCCAAGGGTACGAATGACAGCTCTCACGCCCTTGAGGATGATCCCCAGGCATTCTGCTGCTTCCTCCTCCTCAGCCTGGGGTCAGGGAAGGGTGATTCAACCCCTGGGAGGAGTGGGGAGAGGCTCTATGCTCCCCAACACCACACTGGCTCCCCCAGTTTCCACTCCCATCTGTCTAGGCACCACAGCCCCACCTCTGCCTCCCTCTCCCTCATCAAGGATCCAGTGGCCAGTGTGTGTGCACACAAGGCCATGAGGAGAACTCCCAACCAACACCCACATATGCACACAGGCATGCCCTCCCCCTCCATCCTCGGATGCCTGGGCCCAGCAAGACCTGGTTCTCCATACCCAGTTAAGTCCTCTCTGCTGAGAGACAGCCCTCACCCCCTCTCCCCAGAAGCACTCAGACCCCTCCCCACACTGGCTCCTTACCCTCCATTCCGAGGCCATGCCCAGCCCACCAACTGCCTGACGGTATCCCACTCATCCAATCAGGGAGGGCTTCTTGGGGGAAGGGGACTCTTGGAGCTGTTGCTATTTCAAATCTTTGAACATGGGGTTTAGGGGAGGTGATGGAGGAGAAGAAAGTAGTTGGGGGTGGCCTGGCAGTTGCTGGGTCACTTCCACAGGCAGCCATCTCGACCTGGGCAGGACTGGAGCCAGGTCTGGGTGGAGATTGGGGAGCTGTCAGTTCTGGGAGTTGCGCTTCCTCAGGGACTGAGTGCCAGAGGAGTGGGAGGGCTGCCTGCAGGCTCTGGGCTGCCTGGGGTCTGCATCCTGCAGGGCGAGCGTAGTGCAAGTTACTGGGGCCCGTGGAGGGGCTGAGAGCATTCCAGGGGAGCATTCCAGCCGTCTCTGAGTAATGCTTGGCTCTGGTATTTCTCCTGGCACCCCTGAAGCACACCCAGCCTGGGAGCACTCAGGCTTTGTCCTCCAGGACCTCCCCTTTGAAGACGTGAGGAGGGGGCTTCGGGGCCAGCGTCCCTGGAAGCCCTGCCTCTAGCAGGAAGCCCCCAAGGGCAGCTCTGAGCAAGGTGGGCTTCTCAGTAAACATCTCAGTAAACGTCTAGCTGTTGTTTTTCTCAGAGGGTGGTGGAGACACAGGCATCCTCTTCACAGATCTCTCACACTAAAGGCATCTGTTGCCTAGTCTAAAAATACCAGAGGCTGCCTCCCCCTTCCCTTCCCCTCTGCACGGGGGGCCTAGGTCTCATCCTTGTGACCTTTGACCCCACGCCCTCCCCCAAGGTCAGTGGGGCTCCTGCTCCCCCAGCTGAACTGTCCTTCCCAGTCTCCTCTGTCCCTCTCCTGCCACCTCTCTGGAGGTACCTCAGTTCCAAGGGTGTCCCATGGGTGCCCAGCCTCCTCCAAGCTCAACCTTTGAGTGTTGACGATGTATGGTCCTTCCTGACGACATCCTCTAACCCCATCCCTCTGTTGTCCCCAGTCCCCTCTGCTCCTCAGGTCCCCCTCACCCTGTGCTCTGTTCTCACCCCAGGAAACACCCCTGGAGAGCCAGTCACCCCTCACTGGGTCCTGGATGCAGCACCCAGGCGCATGATCACCCTGGAGGAGCTGGTCAGTGCTGTGTCATCCCTTCCTC